AGGAGTGGCTGGTGGGTTTGAACCTCCAGCCTTAGATCATTTTAAAAACTTTTGGATTTTTAAAATATTGTCCACAAATTGAACACATACATATAGGCATCCAATTTATTACTTGAAACACAAGAATCTGGTAGACATTTGAAACCACTTACAGACTACAGAGAAGACTGTGACCCCGAGTCTCTTGCTCAGCCACAATGCAATTCATCTGTCTGGCTAAAAGATGGATTGGGAGAAAGATCAAAAAATATCCTTTCCTTCCCTTGTTTAGAAGAAATTATTTGCAAAAATAGTTGAAATGGCAAATGAATCAGATCAGAGTTCTAGAAGTCAGAAAACATGACAAGGAGAGGAAGCAAGTTATCAACAATGAACCCAGAGACATATGTGTGTGTAGGTGTGTGTGTAGGTGTGTGTGAGTGTATGTGTAAACACACAGGGGAATACAAGTGAGCACTGTGGAGTTTGCAGAGGACACTTCTAGTCAAAGTAAGAATCATGCAACATAAGGGAATTGAAACAAAGGAGACTGGGGATTGAGGACTTAAGAACAAATCAGTATGTTTCAGTGACAGGGGGAGAAGAGGAGAGGTGACAACAGCTAATATTCTCAAGTTTTCTGAAATATTAGAAGGCAGGGTGGAAAAGACTGAAAGCCTCTATGACTGGGTCTCTACACAAGATTCTACTGGAAGAATAATTTCATAGGAAGCTCTAGGCTGAACATTGGAAATTACCTCCTTTTCTCCTTCTCTGTCTCTGTCTGAACTCATTACTGTGGAAACACAAACATAAACATCATCATAATAGCGTATGATACATGTTATAGTCTGGCTGTATATGGGATCATATGAAATTACTGGAGGGAGAAACTCACTTTACAAGGGTGTTTATAGACTAAGGGACGTTTGCATTAAAGATTGTGATTTTAGAAATGAAAAGCTAGTAAAATTGTAGAGCAGAGGTTCACAAACAAGAAGGAGGGATATAAATCCATCCTTCCATCTGTTTTGAAAACCAGACACTGCCACACCCATTCATTTGCGTATGGTTTGTGGTACTTTGGGCACCAAGATGGTAGGTTTAAATCATGACAATGGAGATCATATAGCCCACAAAACCTAAAACATTTACTGTGTGTTTACCAGCCACTGTTGTTTGGCAGTGCAGATGATGGCACTATTGGGTTAGGTTCTGTCAAGTCAGCTCTGACTCATACCGACACTACAGCAGAACGAGAAGCTGCCCAGTCCTGCATCAGGACACTAGAAGTGGAGAAAACAAGACTAGAGTGTTACAGGCCTTGTAGAGAAGGTATAAGGAGCCCAGGTGGCACCAAGGGGTCAGCAGTTTAAACCCACCAGC